CCCAAGCCACCTAAAGGATACTAAAGGTCTGTCTTAAGTTGCAGTAGGTACACAGCAGTGTTAAGGCTGAAATGGATGGTGGCAATACCTTGATTTAATGCTTAGAAAGTAAGCCTGGAAGTTAGGGCTTGGCTGAAGGTTCCGGCCTCAATTGGCAGAATCCAGAAATTAAAACGGATACTGTTCCTGATTGATTACTACTTATTATTGAACAGAAAGTACATAAAATGTTTAGTAGTTAGAGTATAGGTCCCATGATAGATGCTTTTCTTCAGGGAGCATGAGGAAAGGCTGCTTTTGGCGTTACTACATTGCATTGTGAATTGAGAAATTCAGGTTTTTGTCTCTAGTTTGGCTCAGCTGGGACATTCAGACTGTTTCTGCCCCGGTGTCTCTCATGGAAGATGAGTACACTGCTTCCCTTAGCCCTGCCTGGTGCATGTTGGCTGTTAGAAGGCAAGGTCTTTGGGCCAGCGGGTGCTTCTGGTTGCCTCTGCCAGTGCAGAGGCAATGGCTTCCCATGGGCGGTGCAATACAAACGCTGTAAATGGCAACCACATCTGTAGTATTTGCAGTGCAGGCCTGAGAATCAATATGGCCCCACTGCCTGGTCTTGTGGGGAGCGAGCGTTATTTGTAAGCTGCAAGGTGAAGAACTTTGGCATGTGATATACATCGAGGGACACATTCCAGCCCAGCCTGGACCCAGATTTGTTCTGAAGAGCAGGGAATGAAGAATATCGATGATAGTGGTGCGCAGTGTGTAGGAAGGAGACAGGAAGGTCAGCTTGATTTGGCTGCTGTTCATACAATATTGGCTGGGGAGGAATTTAAGGTATTTTCTAGCAGCTGCATCTCCTTATTTCAGAACTTTTTTTGATGGAAAGAAGACTTAGTACCTTGCCAAAAACTCGCATCTCTTCAAACCCTGATAACTGCCAGGCTAACAGCTGGAATGATTCGTATGTATTGCTTTCCTCTCGTGATAGTCACTATCTTGGTTAGGGCTCGGCACAGAACACACCTCATTTTTGATTTGTTCCACTGTATCCCAGCTTCCCTACTGCCTTTCCCCTCTCCTGTCCTCTCAGACCTCGGCAATGCTCAGTGTTTGCTTTCAAAACAGAGTCAAGATAAAGTTCCTCAATATTGCTCTTTCAGATCTTATCTGCATGGAGCTGCTTTGAAGTTTTCTGCAGTGTCCAGACAGCGAGCCACGAGCAACACTTTTTCTCCTAATCACAATGAGCTCACTGTTAACGTGTTCTTTTCCTAGCATTGCTTGCTGTACGCCCAGGACTGTAAGCCTTTCCTGACATGCGTACACCGTGTTGTACACAACGGGATCCCAGTGGCTCAGTAGGGTCGGGCTTCTATTACAATAGAAATAATAGTTAATTTATTTTATTGATGCTTTTGAGTAGGATTTGCTGAAAAATACAGGAACTACGGGATGTGGATCATGTTACCATAGAACCACACGCAGCGAAAAGTTCCTCTGTCTCCAACATTTCATGTCTTCTGGGCATCCGAGATGATAGTTGAGTTTGATTTACACAATCAAGCCATTCATTAAATATCTGAGTTTTAGGCAGATGCATCCTTTACCTGAGTGATGAAATCTGACTACAGGAAACGGAGCTATTCCTTTCTGAAAAGACCCCATTCTGCTTTATAAAGTGAGCCTTGCAGCAATATACTTTTAGAAAACAGCCAAGCTTTGTATACCAAATATCGTTGTAAGGGCTCAGCAATAAAACAGTTGTGGACTTGGGGTTGATCCAACCACACAATAGCACATCTTTATGCAATATTTCCTCTTTCAACATCCATCTCCAATGCTGTAATTCAATGACAACCGCCAGTTCATTTTAATTCCAAAATTCTAGCCCAGAACACAAAACAGTTTAAAGTCTGAATTCTTGTGTGGGCATATTAATGATTTAAATCACTAGTCCAAATCATGTTCAAAAGAGTGCTTGCTGAGAAGCCTTCAGAAGCAGCCTGATCTATAGCTTATTATCGCCTACTCGATTATAGTGCAAGTCAGAGGCACTTGTGTAGCTTGCTGCTGTCAGCGAACTGAGTGATGGTGAATGAAGGGAAGAGAGGCAAATACTTGATAGAGAATATATATAAAAAGTGATCCAGTGAAGCGATGTAGGCCCTACTAGGGATTGGCTTGGAAACTTCTCAGCTGAGTCATTTTTAGAAAAATAAAGTATCCCCAGGCAGACAGGAAAGGCTGTAAAACCTAATGCTACGTTGAATGAGGATTCTTATCTTGCAAACCACCTTGCAGATAAATACAGGCAGGGAAGGATGGTGCTGGTTCTGTGATACACAAGTTTCCACTGTCTTTGGTGAGAGAAGTGATAGGTCAGTTTTTTGTCTTGCACATGGGCGGGGACGACGACTGTATTTTTGTGTATTTTAGCTTTTGTGGTGTTATGAAAATAAAACTATGAAGTTTTGTCTATTTTGCCTTTTTGTGCCCGAAATGGGCACAGTCCAAGCCAGCTGCTTCAATGGTAGGGTACTCATTCAAATGAGAAGCATCTTCTGCTCTTAAAAAGCAGCTACAATATATTCACTCTGTTGAATAACCAGTCGTGCATTCCTCACTTGCCAGTATAATGGGACCTTCAAAAGTAGAGAAGTTTCACATGACCTTAGCACATACGCCTGACTTTGAGTGCCTGAAAGGAATGACCTCCGTCCCATTCATCATAATGGCTTGTTAACACTCAAACCCACTGTTTTGAGGGTTCCCTGCCAATATTAACCCGTACAAGACCTGAACCGTGGGGGCACGGGTAGGCAGAGGTCACGCTTAGCTATGGCGGCTACGTTTCCCTGCCCCAAAGAACGGGCTTTTCCTGCGGGCAGCTTTTGTTGCTACCCTGCCACAGAACTGGCACAGGCTCAGAGTCACGAACATCAGCCAGTGACGCAGCAGACGAAAACAGGATAATGTTGTACTTAAAGATACTAGGGGATGATCGACACAAACGCAAATGAAGGTTTACACCGCTTCTATTACTTGATATTTACTTATAACCTCCATATTTTATTCATGAATTTTACAATTCCAAATATAATGAAACAGTGAGAGTACTTTATTACAAAGCTTATAAAATAATTAAATATTACACTTATATTTTTTGCTTTTTTTACACCATAATTCATACTTTGTGACACTACCATTTTCTTTCCTCAGTTGTCACTTAAGGAAGTGAGCAAAGAAATATAAAGGAAAAGCTATGCATTAATAAATTAATTATTTTACATCAAATAATAAAAAGGACACAATTATAAAAACAAAACAAAAAACCCCTTGTAGTTTTCCTAGAAAAATGGTTATAATTACACAATGTCCAATATCAAGACAGAGCGGTGTAGGTTGAGATATGTTTCCAATCATCATTTCTTAAAGTATCATAGAATACATGTTTTTAATTTAAATTGTTGCAAAAGGAACTGCTAATTTTAAGTGACCACTGTCTGGCATTAGTGCTGAGCTGGCTAATCTTACCCTGAAACGATACTTTTAAAAAACAGTGAAACTGAACTACATTCATCAAACGAAGTTGTGGGATTGGGTGGAATTAGATAAATATGTCCCTGATAGGCACTCCCCAGAAAATTACAGTAGAACACAGCTCTGTCTCGAATGGGTTTGGCAAATAGGTTGGCTATTTGTTCAATGCAGAAACTTTTTAAATTGTACCATTTGATATATAGTGTCACCGAACATCTCGATACTGAATGATTACAAATATCATTATTACATTTACATTTGTTTTGTTTGCTGGTGGATTCTGAACTAAATAAAAGCATTAGGAGAATGTATAAAAATAGAATTGACTTTTATTTGGTTAGAGTAAATCATCCACTTACTTATCTTTTTCATTTTTTTCCTATAGCCTGTGTGAATAAATAACTATTTAGAGAAGTTTAGCATGAATTAATGGGCTGTGATATTCTCGTTATTTCCTTTGGGTAACGGGTGCATCAAAATTTGCAGAGAGATTTGAGATTAAAAGGCAGACATTCTTCAGTATCTTGGCATTCCAACAACCTAGCTTCTGAAAAAAACCTACTTTAAAATATCAAGTTTAAATTTTAAAATTACATATCTAATGAGCTTAGAAAGTTGAAAACATAACCATTGAGCTCAATAAATCTGAGTTCCTTGAATTAGTTGAAATATGAAATTCTATTTTACTTGTAACACAGCAATATTAAAATTCCAAATATTCTAATGCTGAATATTTCTAGGAATACATTTCAAGTTACTAGTTACCACCTCTGAGTTTCTACATAAAGCAGAAAATGAATTCTTCAAAACAATAAAAACATTAGCATGATGCAAAACTTGCTTTTCCAGCAGCAAGTCTCATAGAGAAGCACCATATATCTTTGTAGTGCACTATTTACTTCTCGTGGTCACACACGTGACGCTGCGGTCTCCAAACAACAGCCTTCTGAATGGCTTTCTGTGAAAGTGGCAGTAAACAGCTTCCTTACCCTGGGACGATAGCACCATACAAAATATGAAAGGAAACGCTTTTGATAGTGGGATCTGTGATGCTGCCACGCTGTAACCTTCCTCCTCGAGCTTCCAATCTCTTTTGCTTTGCATTCTGGTAAATTAGCCAGAACAGGCTTTCTTGCCTCAACTTCTTCCTCATAACATACGACAGTGCAAAATGACACTTTTAAAGAGCGAAGAACTGCCCCTCGAGCCTCAGTGTTCAAGTGATCCACAGTACCCTGTACTTCAGTGAGGTCAGCAAATAAAGAGAAAAAAAGAAAGAAAAACATTCCTTTTTCAACATATATCCAACAATTACTGTACCTCAGACATTCCCTTAGAAAAAAACATCTCTTCCATCAGTGGTTTATGTGGCACCATGTCTTGCCTCAAAGCAAAGTTAATTCCAACATAAATTGAAGCGGCGAGTCCTGTCACTGAAGGGTTCAGATAACACGCTGCTATCAGTTCTTCTTCGTGCATGATTTACAACATTGCTTGCCATAAAATTTGTGGTTACAGACACCATGCTGGGGTACCAGATGACACCAAGTGAAGAAATCCACACAAGAAGGATCGTCTGAAGGAGAGAAAGCCAAGCAATACGGTAAGGCTGTGTTTTAGCAAGTCTACAAGTCAGGCAATAGTTGTAGGCATTTGGTAACGTTAAAAAACACAATGGGTGACTCAATTCAAAGAAGATGCTTTCATCTCAAATATACTAGTTTCTTTTTTAAATTTGTTCAGAGATGACATTTGTTAATTTGCTAGAGATAGCGCTAGTATAATAGGAGGGTCAGAGGGTAAAGGAATTAAAAAATTTGAGCAGACTGAAGGTCAGGAAAAGAGGAGGAAGTCCCACTGTAGAGGATAAAAAAAGTCATCTGTGTTTTCGTCTCTGATCACAAATGCTGTGTTCTAAAGCAAGCTACTTTTACAAATGTGCCTGCTCCATGTTTGATGCTGACTGCTTGTTGCCATCAGCATTGCATGGCGTTTACCTGCACCTCAAAGCAGTGCCAGCTTCGCCTGTATGTGCACCCAAAATGCACGGAAATCTGAGTGCATGGACCCAGCTCTGCGCACGAGTGCACAAAGTGCTCTGCTACGTTGGCGTTCCAATGCTTCCTAGAGGGATGTACTTCTCTCCGTTTGACTGTGCAGGGAGCCTAAGAAATCCCTCTTCTTAGACACTTCAGTTAGGGGGCATGAATCAGGTTTTTAGGACTTTGACTATGCCATGTTGGTGAAATCTTAATTAACTGCAATGGGGAAAGAGACAGGCTGACAATGCTTAGTTCTGAAAAGCCCAGCTTTTAATTACCAAGAAACCATATTTTTCAATTAAGATTTTATTTCACTTAAATTTATGTACAGATCATTTATACACACAGCCCAGTTGCTTTAAAAACATTTCATAGCTGCTCCTTTCTACAGTTTTGTAGTGGATGCTTTATGTTTCTTTAAAAGAGCAGAGTGATGATTCATATGGATGATTTATAAACAAATTCACCACGTCTGAGAGAGCAGTAAGACATTTAAATGAGGTTTAGCAAAATTTATAGCTAAACTGAAATCTCCTGTGAGCATGGGAAAAGATTCCGTTTGACTCTCGGAACTACTGTTTACATGGTCAATAAAAGGAATTTACAAGGAGACAGCGAAGAAAAATCTAGCCACCGTTGTCTGCATTCTCAGATCGGCTAAGCTGAGTCACAGAAGATTAATGCTCCCTCACAGAGCACAGACAACTTCTTCGTATTCTGTGGGCCAGGAGTCGTCTCCGTCTCTCTGTAGGAACTTCTTTTGATTAGTCACCACTTTGCTTTTGGTTCCCTTTTATGTGATGGCAAAGGTGATTCTGTATACCTTTATCACCCTCAAATTTATTTGAATGAATAAGAAAATAATTTCATAGGAAGAATTTTTTTAAAAGATGCCATTTTCTTCCTCACTTTCTAAAAACATAAGCCTCTCTGTAACTGCTAATGTTATGTAAAGAAAATACCGTCCTTGAACAAAGAGTTGTCCAGGAACTAGGAAGCTCAGTACCGAGCTGCAGCGCTCCTGCTCCACAGCACGGCCTTTCTGTTCTTAATTGGGTGTCAGTAGGGATGAAACTGGGAGTTCAACACCAGCTTTCACGTTACTTCACCTGCTGTGCACCAGACAGAATGTGCCGCTGGGAGGAGGCAAAGCAGACAACAGATGAAAAACATGCACAGCACAAAGTGAGGAAAGCTGTTCTGATTAAGCTGGGAAGAAGCTCTTCTGCCATGCAAGGGTAAATTTTCAAAAATTACAAATTACTGTTAAAAAAAAAAAAAACAACCAAGTGCTGAGGAGGCAATGTTAATAAATCTTTACCTCCCTTTTGAAGATCGGAGTGCAATGCTAACGTTACAGAGGTATGGGCGAAAACTTTACTCTTGGGACCTAATCCAAAGACCATTGGAATGAGCACAAAGACTCCCACAAAATTCAGTGGATGTGGACAAGGCTGTCAGTTCCTTATTTCTATTTACTCAAGTATTTATATGTTTAAATTTTCATTCATTTTAAGCAGTGGGATTTACTAGGAGTTATGGTGACCGTAACTGCATCTAACAGAGGGATGGAAATGACCCAGTTGTCTAGGAAAGTGTGTAAACTTTCCCTGAAACATTAATTTCTTGACTGTGATCACTGAGCTGGAGCTGCATGGCTGATAATAGAGACTGATTTGCTTCAATGTGATTCCAGCACAGCTGGTTCCCTCTCTTTTTGCTGGTTTAGACAGAAAGTTAGAGAGCAGTGAAGAGGTAATTGATCTCTAGAGCCTGACGACCCCGTTATAATAAAGGGGAAAGGGCTCCTGCAGATGTTGAGGAGAGAGAGAAACAGGCCAAGTCCAAAATTAATAACAGACATTACTCCAGACATGAAATATAGCAGAGGAAGGCAGGGGTGAAAGAAAAGTGCTTGCTGTATCATGACAGAAAAGGACGTCATACAGAAACTCCAAAGTACAGCACTTTTAGGAAGGTTAATTAGCATTTGAAGCATTAAGAACATTTACTTCTAAAACCAGCAGGACTGTTTACTTATCCTTTTAGGACTGTTTCATCTGTGTGTCCTTGTTTGGATTCAGGTCCCCTGATATATCAGTTTCATACCCTGCGTGTCTTGAGTTGATGCAGTAGAGTGGTCTGTTAAGATATGACTGGGTTTTACAGGGTTTCTGGGCGCGGAGAATGCCAGGCATCGCTACAGATGAGAAGGGCGGTTGGCTAATGTCAATTCACAAGATGCAGGGCCGGAGCTTGACCTTTGCTCCCAGCTCTATTACCACCTTTCTCTGGCAATCTGGCCCAAGTTTTATAGAGGTTACTCTCAGCTCCCAGTTTTAAAATGGTAACAAGACAGTTAATGTATTTCGAAAGTTGATGTTTAAAGTGCTTTAGCATACCTAGGTAACTAGCGTTACATGGGACAAAAAGCTCCAGGAGCTTTTTTCCTTCCCCAGGAGCTTTTTTCCTTGCAGTTAAGAAGGAGTCACAAATTGTAGCCAGCTTGTAAGCAAATATCTGGGATGGGGCTAATGCACCTCTCTCTTTCTGTAGTGGTTCTGAGAGAATTCCCCTTCCATCATTCAGAGTGACACAAACCCTCTTGCTCTTCCTGCTTCTCTAGAACTGCAAAACACCCTGCAGAGGTGGAGAGGGATACAGCAGACATACAAGTGGGGACAGAGCTTCATTTCATGTTCCCTGACTGCACGTCATACACTGATCAGAAGCAGTAAGAAGAGAAAGTACATTCTAGACAAAGCATTTTTGGACTCCCAGGATATGGGTGCAATCTGAAGCTTGAGCATACTTCAAAAGACTAAAAATAAATGGCAAGTTCTTACTGCTTAGTTCAAAAGTTCCTATTTTTAATCATAAAACAGTACCAGCATAGGATGCTTCTATTTTATTCAACAAGATCGTATAAAGATGCAGCTCAGAACCAAATGGCAGAAATTTTTGACATACTTTTTTTTTAACATAGCCCTATTTTAAAAATCTCCTGTCTCAATTATACTGTCAAGTCTGCTTTAAGAGGGTTCACTTTGGGAAGAGAGATGCTCTAGTATCAGAGAGTAACTGTAAAGCTGGAAAGTCTGGGAAGAATTCATTTATGAAGGAGCATGCCAAATGCTAATCTTCAGTGGGTCTAACTGGAAAAGGTGATTTTTGCTGGATGTAGAGTTCTACGCAACCAACCCTGCTGCAGCACGTAGAGCTGAGGTTTACCTCTTTTCACAGGGACTGGGCAGAAGTTAGTATTGCAAGCTCTCAGGACTGCTGGTTTCTGATGGGGCAAGCACCCTGAAGCTGGTCTTCCGTGGCGCAGGCACTGTACGCTCCGGGTTTGCACTCCCCCTCCACATGTTACTGTACACTGTAGAGAAGAAAAAAGGAAAAGCCGTCTTTCATTATAGAGACTCTCTGGGAGCCCATGAAAGCCAAAGGAGTAACTTTCAAGGGCTTTGGATGAGACTTTCAAAGAGAGAGGGGTCAGGATTGGATGTGTTGCTGTTCAGCAACCCCCATCAAGGACCAGCTTTTCAAAGATGTATGCATCTGTTCTCCCTTCAGAAAGTTCGGTTATTTAAGGACTCAGCTGAAAATTTGGTTCCTTTCTTAGGCATCGAGACAGAAACTGAACATTTTAGAAAACCTGTTCCTGATTGTCTGCACTGATTTCTTTTGAACTCTGAGCCTCTGGGCCCAATCTTGCTGTCTGAACAGAGGTAAAACTCCCACTGGAACCGTAATTACGGCAGTATCTGGGGAAAAACACTATGCGTTTGCAGGAAGATCTATGAAGTATTTTAAAATGAATAAGCCTTTTACTTGTATGTGTTTCATGAAAAGTTGTCTTTAAGATAAATGTGATCATTTTCATCTGAGTGCAATTGTCAGGCATACATTGTTTCATGTAAATGTTATTAAATGAGTGTGTGTCTCATTGATATGTGAGTCACAAAGTAGATAAGTTCCAGAAATACAGAAGCTTGTTTGCAAGAATGTAGAAACAAATACAGACTGATCCCGTAATTAATCATAGCATTTAGGGAATTCCAGGCTATCTGTGCAGATGCTCAAATGCATTGTGCATACAGCTATGTAATAGTTCAACCACAGTGCAGTTCGAAGAAGACTGAGAAGAAAGCGTTGGAAAATGAGCGTGGAATGTAGTGCCTCTCGAGCATGAATAACATTTTTAGGTGACATTCTTCAGTTTCAGGACAAAGAAATGAGCTGCACCAAAGTACATGATGGATGTGGACCAGCTGCATTGTGTTTCAGTGGCTGAGTGGTGCGACCTTCTTTAAGGAATGGCTACGTGCTGGAGACACCTGTGGGCTGTTAGTCCTGGAGATGTCTCCTCCGCACAATCGGACACTTGACTACAGCACAATGTAAGACTGGAGCTAGCTTTAATCTCGATAGCTTGGACCCACATTGCCCTAAAGTTACAGTGCTGTGGTCTTTAGCATTTCACGCCCGCCAGGTGTTTGTGCCACCACAGCTCGTGTCCATTCCGGGGCACGTGACACCGTGGCCTTTCTAGGTTTGGTGCTCTGTAAGCCCAGCACCACAACCTCCCCTTCTAGTTACACTGTCAAGGAGTCAGCAGTCACACTGCAGTTGTTTTGTCCTTTAATGCTGTGTAGTGAAAAGCACCAGGGGATGCTACTTGAGCTACTGTGTAGAGAAAATCGCTCCTTTTGTGAACACTGTAAAAGCCAAGGCGTGAAACAGTGTTGGGGGAAGAGAGCTAGCTGGGAGAGGAAGAGAGAGAGGTGGGAAAGTTTCCCATTCCTACCTGCTGCCAGGGTGAGGAATACCAGCCGGACACCATGTTATACGTTTGTGATGGACAGGCTCCATTGTTACAAGCTTCTTCCAGGTTGGTGTTTGGTTTCTTGATGTTTCTGCATCTTCTCTGAGGAAAGGTGATCAATTTCCCATGGATGCTTTTCTCGCCGCATTTTAGTTCTCGCTTTTGCACACCTGGGCCACAGGAGGCTGAGCACTGCAAAGGCAAAGTACACCTTCTAAATCTACAGAAACACATTCAGATAAAGGAGAACACACTGTGAGCAAGAGAGCCCGGATTATGCGAGACTACAAAAGCATTATACAACTGAAACCACAAAGAGCACGTTCCGTAATGTGTAAACTGAAATACAAATCTAAATTAGTGGAAGTCCTGAAAAACAAAGACATTGGGGCCCATCTAACTACATCTGGATGTAAAGAACTGTGCTTTTATAGTGGCTTGCCTACAACACCTGATCTTAAATGACAGCTCAGCTTTCTCTCCTCCTCATGGTTTGTGCATGTCCCTGAGTCGACGTTTCCAAGAGCAGCAAAGGCAGGCAGTGAGCCATGTAACCGCAGCACTTTACCTCACTCCAGGAAGAAATCACCCACTGGAGTCGGTCATTTTTGGGGCAGCGTCCTAGCACGCAAGTCTGCTGGGATTCAGGTTTATGGTCTCTGCTGCACATACTTTCAGGCAAGATTTTAACCTTGGGAGAACCGGTACTTTTGCAGTAGATGTCCCGTTTCTTAACACCTCTCCCACAAGTCTTGGAGCACTGTGATGGAAAGAAATATTCATTTGAACTAGAGGAAATGAAAATCGGCATTATTTGCATTTTACAACAGAGCATAGAAACTATGGCTAATGCGCTGTGTAGCTGCCATTATAAGTAAACTTGAAATTCTGTTGGTGAGTATGTAACAGTAACATCTGTATGTCACTTCTAAAACATTGCCCTAAGTGCTTTCTTAATGTAAACTATGGACTCTTACAGCCCCCATGCAGAACAGATAAGTAATATCTCTCTTCCGTAGATGAGGAAAAGTTGGACTTGTGAGCAAAATGCATTTTTCCCTGGACAGCACAGTTGAAAGTTGGTCCTAACCTCCCATCTCAAAATCTCCTCCAGCAAGATGTTCTCCACTATTTGTTATTTTGTCTTCACCTTAGCCTAGAGGGATGAGATAGAGGCAGAGAAAACTACCCAGGGAATCTGTAACGCCTTCACCACATGATTCTCACTGTGAGACAGAATCTGATACAGACAATGGTTAAGAAGTTTGACCAAAGCTATTTTAATTGCCATGATTACAACTAAACCTTAGGACAAATAAACCTCAGCATACAACAAAATGCACAGCTGAGCCATTTCTGATGAAATGAAGAAATAAATGGCCCTGAAATAATGCTGCCAGCTTTCTACCTTGTTGCATCCTCTTCTAATTGTTCTTCTTTTTACTAATAATTAAGGGGCACATTCCAGGGCAGAATCCTGCACTATCATGATCCGTATTAAATCTCAAAAATGTTTTTAAGAGTTCATGAAAGCAAAGGTGCAACAGAAATACCTGCATGCTGAAAATCTGTGGCTTTAAACTTTCCCACAAAACCCAGAAAAATCCCTTATTTAAAATAACTGTGATCTGTGTAGAGAAGCTGGGTATTTTGCATTTTTTTCCTTTTAACTCCTTCGAGCCTGTGATATAACAGCTTTCAGCTGAATCTTAAAATCTTCACTAACTTGTTCAATAGGCCTGTTCACTACCATTCTGCAGGACTTGTGGACTTAATTTTCATAGGCTTACTTGAAAATCCCAGCTTGAATTCTACACCTCCTAAAGAGGAGGAAAATAGATATTTTTTCATTGTTTTTTACTTTAAAGGAAGGAAAGTTTGCAAATGCGGATATGTTTGGTCTTCATTTTTAAGTATCTAGTCATCATACCTGATTTTAACAATCTCCTGCCACACTAAGGTTTCCTTCACATACACTGGAAGAAAATGTTTCTTTTTTGAGTGTTAAAACTCTGTTACGATGGACTATGGAGTAGTTACTCGTCTGTCATAGTACATCACAGGGCACTCCCCTGGAGAGGCAGTCTGTGCTTCTCAGCTGGGAATGCTTAGGTCAAGATGTTCTGGAACACCTAAGGAGTAACAGTACCAAGAAGTGTACACAGAAGTAATAGATTTTTCAGTAAATTTAAATCCACCTTGAATCTCACTAAAGGAAGATGGAAAAATAAAAATAACGTAGCTCCTTTTGATATCAGTGTACTGTCAGCTCTCTCTTAAGTCCCAGATTTCCCAGTATTTCATTTATCCTTACATTACCAGTTCCTACCAGCAGCAGAAGTAGTGAAAGAAAGAGCAGAGGTGAGTTTTGTATATACGTGTGTGTGTTTTTTCACTCATGCTGGTTTAATGTCAGGCAGTTCGCAGGCTTGTGAAGCAGGGTGTGTACACACAGGAATCTGCCCAGGGGCTTATGCCCCTCATGGCAGTTAACTGCAGCAGTACTCTCCTTGCAGCAGAATAGTTACTCTAACAAGGGCAAGAGTACATATGTGATTAGAGAACATGTAAATATCAACCCTCAGTTCACATTCTCTGTGTGCATTAACACGCAACTCTAACCCCAAATACTTCTTCATGCCTTGACTGCCTGTCATCTCTGAGTTAATATTGCTGTGGGAAGTAAGCTTGGGGAGGGGGGTTTATTGGCTTTGAAGAATTCATAGACCCTTAAGTTATGAAACCAAAAAAAAATTATCCGTCTGTTTGTGTGTGCCAAAAAGGACACCACGTGCCCACTTCTGGCAAGCCCTCCTATCCAAGCACTTAGGAAGGCTAGGTAAAATATAGGCATAGTTTACATATTATCTTCATTAATAGAGCTACCTGCAAAATACTGATCTTCACAATGTTTACACTATTACTCTTTCTGAGCAGAGTTTTTGGCTATATTTTCATTATGCCAGCAGACAAAAATGTAACTTTTTTCTCCAAATTACCTGAGACCATAGGCCAGGGCTCCATTCAGGTGGGCAGTCCTGACTATTGCACATCTGCACCTGTGTAGGGGTGCTGACAGGACACAGGGAATGGGCCACTACCTCCTCTCTTTGGAAAGCCCTTTTCTGGACACACTGAATGAGACGACTTTGTTGCCCTCCTCCACAAGATTTGCTGCATGTGCTCCATTCGCCTGTTGACCAGCTTAAAGGAGAACATGTATGTTAGAAACACAGGAGTCCAGTTAGCTTCATAAAATCAATACATATGAGCCACCTATCAAATGTGAATTATTCAGGGGTTCTGCTTAGCCTCCTCCCCTGCTGTACGGGTATCTGTTCAAGCAATCAAAAAGCCTTAGCTGCATAATCTATGTTCAAAGCATGGAACTTTTTGCTAGGGATGAAATACAAGTCACACAACTAGAAAAACTAGTATTACTTATTTACAGTTCTCATCTACCAGAACCAACTTGCCTACGAATCCGACCTGGAATCTGGAATTCCACAGGGTCTGACAGAGATGCTGCCATTGAAGCTGGTGGAGTATCTGGAAGATCTGAGGGTCCGGCTAACAAATCACCATTCCTTTTTAACCACGTCTATCCTTTTAATTGAAAAAATCTTTTCTAAAAAAATGGCAGGATGACCACTTTTGTCACTTTAGCTGGTTGAAGAGACCTCCAAATAGACTAACAGACCCCAGGCCAAAGGAAGAAGCCAGATAAATGGAGAGAGTTCTCTAAATCGGTAAGATGTGGTTATTGGAAAGCTCTGCCCTTTGTGGTTACGTTTTTCCCGTTTTACATCTCTCTGGGAAGACAGGGCGGAGGAGGCAGATTTCACCTAAGCTGATACAAGGAAAAGCTGCATGGCAGGGAAAGAACGGGGCCAGTTTAGCTGAGCGGGTACCTCCCAATGCGTTTGTGCATAGACACACCCCCACAGGGCGACAAATGTCGGCATGGTGCTGCCCAGTGGTATTTGTGTCAAACCTTACTGGCCTCCATTCACAAAAAAGAACTTGCTTACTAAAACCAGCAGTCCTGTCATTAGTGTCTGGAGGATTTAAATGTCCTCAGACTAATAAATTTGGCAGACAGATGATGTAGAATCTAAATAAAACAGAGGAAAATTAACCAGCAAAAGCTGTTGGGCAAATCTACACTGCAGTCACAGACACGCTTCAGTTACGCATCACGTCACCGAAGTTACACAGAGACTGAAGAATTATTGCCAATTGCTTAGCATAAGTTCAGTTTTGAAATGTAAATCGCTGCTCAGTATTTCTATTATTGAAGAACTGTGTGGCTCCCCAGCCTTTGTGGAACACTTTGCAAACAGAAGCAAGTGTCTTTGTCCTCAAAGGCTTACAACAGAGCATAAATAACGACTAGACAGGAAAACAGAAATGAAGGAACAAATTATGAATGGCTAAATGATTATTCAGGCTGAGAATTCTTATTCAGAGGCCCAGCACCAAATTTAAACTAAAGGTTTTAAAACAGCAGTTTTACAAATTTTTAATAATTTATGCCACAAAAAAGGTCCTCATCTCAAATCCGATTGCTTGGCCTATCCTACTTCTGTGGTTTCTCACAGCATCAGCCCTGTGACCACTGGAACACAGCTTACATACAGCTTTAATGACAGGAAAGCTTTTTTTTCTTTTCTTACTGTGTGAAAGATGAGCAGCATCCCATTTGACTGTTCACATCTGCCTGAAAACAAAGCTAATTTTAATTTGTAAAAAATGTATGAAAAGCCTATTTTGGAAAAATTCCTTTGGGAATAGAAGAAATCCCAACTCTCAGTCTAGTAACTTCAGTAACTGCCAAAAGTAGTGGGAAATATAAAAGCACTAATTTAAGGACAAGAAATACTAATGTGAAAAGTCAGTAGTTATGTATAGTCCAGACCACTTCAGAAGTTTCCTTTTTGTCTGATTTATAAATATTTGAACTATTGCAATAAAAACTTCTGGAAAAAATTATAATTCTAATCCATTTTACAACTTCTAATTAGTTTGCCTTGATGTTTCTGACAACAGTGATTGGTAGAGCAACCAAAAGTGTTGGTTCATTTTAAGAGTTTAGTCACCATAACTGCCCAGAAAGTTCCCCTCTTCACAGAGGAGAAGGCAATAAACCTACTTTAATGTCCTCTAGTAAACTGCCATTTTCCAGGATTATCTGGGCTGTGATCCAAGAGTATCTTTCATTAGCTCAAATAACTAAGTAATTATGACCAGATTTGGCAGCTCTGAAATCCAACAACAACAATGTGCGGTGCTGATGCCTTTCTATGTTCGTACTGTTGGGACAGTAGTTTGTTCCTCCTCAGACTAATAAGTCTTTGTTCTTATGCAGTAATTATTCCTCACTGACCTCTATAAGTCTGGAGCCTCTTTTATGTCACAACACTGACACGCTTGTATCTCATCTCTTACTCACCTCCTTCCCTTGCCTGTTACGCCTACCGTATTTGGTTTTGCTTTATTTGCTGGCTATTAAGCATTCTTTGTTTCCTCCATGGTATTTATTAATACTACATTTTTTGATGTTGGCAGTCTTGGTTTTATGGGAAATATTGCATGCCGTGACTTTCTGGGCAGATTGCTCAGCAGAGATATTCTGGCATAGTTTCACTCAGCTGAATGGCAATCTGTTAATTTAAGACATGGTCCTACATGTAGATCCTCTATACATTAATATATCCTAAGGGTTTTAAAAATAATTAGTGACTTGAATTGTTTCTCCCTAGAGGTGGCTTGGGGCTTTTACGTTTTTCCTTTTTGTACTCTTTTTAGGGTTCAAGTCACTAATTGTGTTTTAAAGTAGTAAATCTAAGAATATCAGAGCGATTTCAGTATGAAAACATTGCACTGCATGTCAAAATGGATATTCAGCATTTTCAGGGATAGGTGTATCAGTGGATGTTCAAAATACATCGGGATCTCTGGTTAACAGAAATGGAAATGTCTGCGGTCAACAGAAAGGAATATGATTTTGATGAAGCTTTATAGCATAACAATGCCACATCAAACCGGAGGTAAGCATGAACAGCTTAAAAAGGCTGCTGGGAACATAATAGACAATACATTTCTGTGTACATGATACTGAGTTCATTGGATAAAAATAGTTCTGGCAGAAGATAAGTCGCATAGGAAAAGATTGTGTTTGGCTACAAAGATTACTTAAAATTGGTATTGCGAAAATCATGTGGCTAAAAGCAATCTAAAGAAACTGCTGAAGCAGGAACATGGGGCTCTCATGTCACATGTTACCATTATTTAAACCTTATCTCTATCGTTTTGTGGTCATAGCGTATAATTTGCCATTTGGATTTTGTGTACTCTGCTGTAATCTTTGAATTTTGCAGGAAATTCCAAACTATTACTGGACTATTTTTTAGTATGTTCAACATATTGCAAACTATGGATTTTTAAGTAAAAAAAAAAAAGAAAAAAAAAGCCACTGCAGAACATACACATCTTTTTGCTTTGCCCCATCATCCTCTTCTGGACTGGGGGAGATGGGGAATGCTTCCTGTTAAACTCCACTAAATGTGTTATTTTTTGAAGTATGGGCGCAGGCTTAGCCAATTGCTTTTACCACCCATTGCTTTTATCACTGCCGAGTAAAACCAGCAGATGACACCAGGTCTAGAGCTTCCCTCCATTTCCTCTGCCTTCTGCTGCCTGTGCCCTTCAGTGCATCTTCAACTGGCTTTATTTCCCACTAAAACACTCCTCATTTTTTCAACGTACTGCTTTAGCAAATGTCCTGTTCTGGAGGTCAGAATGCCTTGTCCAACGCAGTACAGCTTTTCTGATCTTTAGTGTAAAATTAAAGTAATGCTGAGGTTACAAAGTCAGGAATCCAAAAGTGAAAAAAAACCAGCAGAAGAAAGATGGCCAACGTGTCCTTAAATCTACCCATTTGTATTCTAAGCCACATAACACTGTGTTTAATTATATGAGTACACAACATTTCTTTTCCAAACGACCCCTACTATAGCTACTATAAATCAGTGTAACTCCCTTGTTTTTAAAAGAGCTCTATTGATTTAGACCAGCTGGGTTCTAAATGCTTATCTATATGTCAATGTCTTCCTTTGCATCTCACCTTTCTTATGTCTTTTGGACAATAAGATTGTTCACATAGGCAATGTCTTCACATTTATTTTTGTGGGCACCAGGAGCATTGCTGACCATTTATTTGGTTTAGATAGTCCTCTTCTTGGTATCATAATACTCTGTGGGACATTTTGTCCAAAAATCACTAATTACACTTCACAAGGTTCTTTTAACCTAATCTAATATGTGGAATCTGAGTCATGGGGCCAAGCTTCCACACAGGGAGTAGCACTTTACTCAGGAAATGGTCTTATTGATTCAAGGTGAGTAAAGGTGGCAGAACGGGCCTCTAAGTAACTTAGATTTACTCAGTGTCACATAGCTAACCCCAGCATGGTGACAGAGCTGCAAGCAATCCTCAGGAGGTTTTGCGTAGCAGCATTAGAAATACCGCCTCTATTATTATCATTGGGCAGAAGCCTACACTACTCACATTTTTAAACAATTACTGGTTTACGTTACAGAATAAAAGTGGGTTCATCTAGCAGGCTATACAATCCTGTGTGCCTGTCGGAGAGGACTTCTTTCGTGGCAAACTCGGGCATGAGACGCTACGAAAAGGTACAAAAAATAAGAGAACTTACTATGCTGGGCAGGGATTAGTATTGCATAGTTTTGTTTCAGTTAAAGGCTTCGTCCTTGGGCCGCAAAAGGAGGAATTAACTCGTGTACGATGATCTTCTAAGCAAATGGCTTTTGCTGTAATGTGTCCTGTGGAAGTATTAGGAAAAAATACAATAAAATAAACATTTACCCAGAATATAAGAGAAAAAGTAGTAGGGAAGAGTTTTAACTAAACAAGTCCAAGCTCATCCTTGGTACAATTCCACTAACTTGAACTAAAGAAAATAGGATTTAATTTGGCAACATGTTTTTAACATTAATTTCCTCTCTGTAACACAGATACTGTTGAAGTCAGATGAAACATTTTAGTTATAAACTGCATCTTTGCAGAATCTTCCCTCAGCAAAAATAAGTAATTCTTCAAATCCTAATTCCCTGCAGAAACTAGCAGTGCTGCCTTAGAGCTCGCCTTACGCACTTGCAAACCGCAACAAAACATTTTGTGACTTTTTACAGTGTATCTTTACAGACTTTGGAATTCTGGAGGCTCCTGTACCTAAACTCTATCTAGTGTCAACATCAGGACAGATTACACAGAAGACTACAAATGCCTTAAGAGATGAAGTGATTTTATAGATTTATCTTTTAATTGAGATAGATCATTCACTTCACACATGGTTCATTGGGCACAGCAACTCAAATCTGGAAACACGGCTGCTTCTATCATCTTTATGACCACGCTGCAACCTTCACTTGTTTTAAAGGAAAGCAAGAAAAACACAGTTGTCATGCTTTGTCTGCAGTGCTCCTCATGGGTCTGTCTTCTAAAAACAGTCTATGGAGATGCTGTGAAGTCTGACACACTAGCAAGATATTCCTGAATTTCCTCTGGACTTTTTTGCCAATACAGGAGCATAACGTGGCATTTCCTTGGTCACCAAGTCCTATTCTTTGGTATTAAAGACAGCTGCATCATATAGTCTTATTTATATGATCCAGTTGCAATTTAAAGGCCACTAAAATTTTAATTCTCTATTCTTTTTGCAGGACCTCCCACATGCCAATTTTCTGCTTTCACCTCATCCCAGGTTTTACTTTCACTGACAGAACATCCAGGATTTAGAAAAACAAATAGATGATCTGCACAAAGCAAATACCTAGAGGAATATGGTAATAAGAAATCCTTAGCTTATATAGAATTTCAGACTTTGACCTGAAGAACTCAAATATTTGTAATTAAACAGTGAGAAGATCAGGGTACAAGTGTCAGTAAAGGTCTTGATAATATTTAGGCTTCAATTACTCTCTACAGCTAAGATAAATTTTACGCATTATTTGGTATCTTTCTGTGTTCCCAAATTACAAAAACATCAAAAAGCACATATTTAATTCCCACATTACTTCAACAGCGAGATAGCATATGCACGCAGCTTGACCTAAAGAAAAAAGACTGAGTCACTGCAAGTGACACGAATTGAGACTGGCATGAATTTTTTTTTACCATAAAGGCAGTATGAAGGTACTTCATCTATGTTATTAGTCACCAGATAAAAAAATAAGGACCAGGTGTTCAGTGTAACCCCTTGTATGTATTGATACACGTTTGCGAAATTAAAGGCAGCTGAACTGTTGGAGATGCTTTAAAAAATGAAAAGGAAGAGGATTGGCAATTAGAAGTTACGTACCACCACCACAAGTAGCTGAGCACTCTGACTGCACCGTCACCCAGGAGTAGCTGGGTTTTTTAACAGATGTCTTGTTTTCATTGTTGGTTTTGGGAAACGTATATTCCCAAGCAATCCCAGGATTTTTGCCTTGTAACAGGATCTGTAGGAGGGTATTTGGGGTTTGTTTAAAAAAAAAAAAAAAAAAGGGGGGGGAAGGGGGTGAAAAAAAAGGATTCTGTCATTCTGAAGGAAGATGAACTAAACACGATACTTACAGAATTTATTTATACACGCTATGTTTGTGAAAGAATTTTCAGGAGACTTAACTTTTCGATAAGCTAAAAACCATCAAAGTAATGCCTAAAGAGCAAAGCGTTTGCTTGGACTAACACCTGCAGGGCATGTAACAAGAGTGCAGAAATGCACAGTTCAGCATAATGCTCCTTTAAATCAGAAGGCATTTGACTGGACTGGTGAAGCAGAAATGCCTTCAGCAGATGTGAAATACCATCCAAAGACTTTTGGCAACGCAGCACTGGTTGCTGCCCCTGCCCCAGCTCTCAGTGCTCTGCTCCTGCCACTGGCCCTGAAGAAGGGGGTCCCTGCGTTCACAGGGGGGGTCGCTGGCGGGTGCTGGCGTTTGCCTGTGGCAGCATGGTGGATGGGCTAAGGGTTTGGGGGGGGGGGGGGGAAGAAATTTCCTCTCTCTTAGTAAGCAAAGTCCAGGCTAGCTGATCCTGCCACAGTGCCTGCTATGAATGAAGAAGCCTTTGCCCATTAAGCATGACTGAAATGCGTTACTAAAAGAAGCTTGAGCAAAGCAGTAGTAAAGCTATGTGGGGCCTGGTGGCTAGAGCTGGCTTCCTCAGTTCTTGAGGCTGAGCGTGTAAAATAGATTTTCTTTTTTCCTTCATATAAAAAACGTTTTTCTATGCGGACTGTTGATGCATTTTGTTGGGAAGACCCTCAGCTGGTATTTTTCTCATGATGATTGAAGCTGATAAAGCTTCAGTCCAGGAGAGGACCCATCCCTGAGTGTCCACAAGGGAAAATGGATTGGAAAAATCTTTTATTCATGATTTTAGCATAGTGTGTTAGAAAATTTATAGAAAGTGTGATTACTGACTATAATAACAATGTTTGTCATTTAACTCAGGGAGGCTAGCTCTCAAGGGTGAACTATTTTAGTGGTGAATTATATTGCAGTTTTCATGTAGGCAACTTTCTAAAATGCACCGTATTCATTTCAAGTCTGAATTATAATCAATGCAAGATGCATGAACATCTGACACATACCTAAATTCGGGGAGAATTTAACATCTATTTTAAAAACTATTTTTGGTAGCGAAGTGCATTTATATTCATAGCTAATAGAAAAAGTGCAAGAGTTTACAGTTACAGAGCTCCACTTCTTCACCAATCTGGATCTGGCCATATAAATATAAAGAGCAGGTGCAGTTAACCTCAGTTCCTAAATATGCTTTTTGATAAGCACTAGCATTTCAAGTAAAATTTCAGTCTATGTTAATGATTATAATTCAAAATATTAATAAAACATCAGTTAAATTCACATGATGTCTAACCCGAGTGCTTGAGCAATCCATGTAGGCAGACTGATTTCATAAAATAGCAACAAACTTGCATTTATGTTGTTTAAGACCAAGAAATATAATAACATTTTGAAATGTAGCCCAGGGTTTTAAAGTATTCTGAAAATGTACCTATTGAAAAACAGAAATTATCCATGACAGTGAAAATTCAGACCAAATTTACATGACCTCCAGCTCAATAATGTTGAACATATGAAGGCTCTGGACTGCATACTGTTTACTTTTCTAGAAGAAAGGAAAACGGATGGTATACTTTCCATTCTTAGTAGCCAAGGATTTTATTTTAGTCAGTGAACCTTAACAATGATCCAAACTGAGAATATAGCAATTAGGACTGTAAAAGGCAAAATCCTTCCAAAAGAATTGGAGAGCACGTGCCTTCTCATTGGAAGATTCAGATTAGAAGATCCTCCAAGCACAGGTAAATGCAAATATCTCATGTGCAAGTTTTCATCTCACGCATCCAAGCTTAATTCGTGAGCACCTTGGAATACCTGTGAGATTATGGAAGAGATCTGAGTGACTACAGACCTCTCTGTTTTTACTGAATATTCTTGATAGAAATAATATTACTATATCTGCTTTAGGGGTGAGACATATATGTATGTATATATCAACTATTTTACACGATTAAAACCAAATACGCTGGAATTAGAGAACATTAGAATTGAGACTGTTGTGCAACGTCACGCTGCCCTGCACAGATGTACTCTGCATCTCTGGATCTCGTGCTGAGTTTTCAGAAAGCCTCTACCGCGTTCAGTGCTCACAGCACATGGTGCTGCTAACGAGCACGTTACAAAGCTCCCATAATGCTCATCCATCAGTGTGTGGTTCTGTGCTCTGTTTGCTGTGCTCCATTCAAACCGTTACCACTGTAACTTTTTTCAGGACCTTTCTTTTTTCTTCAGCTATTCATCACTATCTGATATAAATGTTTTATAAGATTTAACAGCCCCTTCAGATGAAGGAAAATATCTTTTCTGTGGAATTTTTTATTTTTAGAAAGCTGACCGACTGCTAATAGCAAAAAGTCCAACTGTTAATTTGAATCTTGAACCTCAAATCCATGGGCATTAGGAGAAAAAACAGGTTGCAATAATATGTGTTTGCTGTACTGTCCTTCTCTTAAGGACAAATTGAGACAAATACCTAATGTGTAAAGTTTCAGAACATGTGCTTCAGTAAAAAATAGGGTGCATTAACCCCAAAAAGAATTGAGTCCTGGAAAACTGTTCTTTGATTAAAACAATTCTTTTCCTGGTTCTTCTTAGAGACGAGACCTCAAAATGCTTTAATTTGCTTTTACTCATTGGAAGGTCCTACAAGTCCAAGGTCTTAACACAGATCTCAGCATCTTAGGCAGCCAGAAGCAATTTTAGAGAGCAGCTTTATTTTCTTCTTGTGTCAGAAAAGATCTGGCTAATGTATGAACAGTTGAAGTCAGATTTCCTCTTTCATGGTCCTATGAGGATGCACTTTCTCCCATTGCAGTGGGTGCTCTATGTTCCTTCAAGTGCAGAGGCTCAAATTCAGTCTAGCCTTTTTGGAAGTCATGTGTCAAAAAAGGAGGAGGTTTTGCCCATACCCCAGGACCTTGCATAAGGGTTAGCCCTCGTCTCATTTGCTTCGGACAGCTGTCATAAAACTGTGCTATGTCAGTAGGCAAAAAAACAATAAAGCTTACAACTTTTCCGATAAAAGTATCGTGAGGTATTAGACTGAACACTTGTCTTCTGAAAGTGCTCCTTACTTTGTGATAGTAAAGGCAAGAAACAGAATGAATGCATCCTGAACAACAGAATTCAGAACACGAAAGAGGGAGGATGAGAAGATAAAAGTGGCAACCTGTTTTACTCCTGCTACAGCAATATTCTCCTGGTGCTTCAACAGAGTGAAGGGAATGAAGAGGAAATGGTCTCCGACAAGTTAAAACAAGACATGTTGGTATCTATTGCTTCAGAGAACAACCACACGGTGATGTAAGAAACTCGCAACCTCCAGCTGAATGCGTGCCTGGGGGATAAATGCTGCACACCAGGCAAGCTGGGCCATACACATTTTAAGACCTTGGGCTACACCCCCTTCTTCTGCATTGGAAAGTAGACACGATTACATGGGCAGATGAAGTGAACGCCCTCTCTGTTTCCCAGCTGGCAGCCAAAGCTAGAGCCCCTTCCCACCCAGCAGGCTACAAGGAGGAACATTTACAAAGCAAGAGCTGCATCAGAGTCAGGTCTCCTTCCTCCTGTATCATCCCTGCTACCTAGAAAAAGGGCAAAATCAAACTCTGGAAAAGTATTGGAGACAAAATACTGCAGGGCACAAAAGCATATACTTTAAAGTCCCTGGCACTCAGCTGAAAACCAGAATACAACGTATAACGTTCAACCAAGTTTTCGTCAGGAATGCAATACTATTGCAAAGTTGCAATTTTGCCAAAGTAATGAGCATATAAAAAGTTTTCTATCGTCTTTTCAAACTTTCATTATAAAGCCCTTCCTTAACAACCCAATAACTGAAGTCTGCATATACAGCCAAGTTATCAGACCTACAAATTTGGGAAGACCTCCAGTGCTAGTCTACTTAACTGGATGCATTCCAGCATCTTTTCAGCCAACTGGCATTTGCTCCCAAATTTACAGCTGGCAAACAACCTCCTTAAACATTTCCAGTTCCTCAATAGAACTGTTTAATGTCTACCTTTAACACACCAACCACCTGACTTCAGACACAACACTCAGCAGCTCTGACCGCAGGGCGCAGAGTTATAAAATTTACAGCTTCTTGAGTTCGAAAACCACAGACTCTATGGCTGGAATCTGCCAGATCTATTCTGAAGAAAAAGAACTGTGGCTTTCGCTTAGGGCACAAAATGTTAAAACAATGGATAAATTGAATTCTCCTGAGTAAAGAACCTTTTCTTTTTGCTGCTAATTTTGATTTCAAAGCTAAACCAATAAATTTTCTAAAGTAGCTGTGCATCTGCTCCTTTGTTAGCAATTATTTTTTTTCCCATGGCTATCCTGAGTTTCCAATACAATATTCCATTTTGCAGGTCAAATTTTTAAAGAGCCTATCAACATCGCTCTGTTATGATTGACTCTGTGCTTTTCAGGTGTTTTTTATTGTAAGATGTGTATGTGAAGTTACTTGCAACACACTGAATTAAAAGAGATTGGCTTACATAAGTTGAACTCCTCTTTCTTCCACAATATTCTGGCCAATGTATAGGAAAGCATACTAACGCCTGGCATGTAACAAGCTGAAAAAAAGACTCATTATCTCCGTGAAGAACTAATAGACATTTACAAATCACTTACAGAGTGAAGCTGAGCACAGAAAAAGCCAGGTAAAGGAATAGCTGCTGTTTACCCAAATGTGCTTCATGTATTTTCATCTTTACTCACTCTGCATGTGCATAATTTACAATATGGGCATGAGCCCAAACTTTGATTCCCAGCATACTTGGTAGCTTTGATCTGGGTCTTCAAATTGCATCTACATTTCCTGGGTCACTCCCATGCTTTCTAAGTCTTTGATAATTTCT